TGGAGCTGCTGATTAATGTCACACATGAGCCTGATGACTGACACTTGAGCCATCCTGTGCTTCTTTGTAGATCTCCAGTATTGGTGCTTCCTGCTGCATCAGGCGACAGCCCTCAGATGTGCTGAACTCCTTCCAGAGGCATGCCCTGGGTGGAAAGATGTTTCAAAGCCTCCTCTTCTTTAAAAGCCCCATCAGCTTTTGTCAGGAATTTGGGTGTTGGCATGATGCCAGGATCAGACAGCTCCATCAGCCCAAATGAGTTTTTTATTTCATGTTCAGATCAAATGTTATCTGCATTATTAAAATATTGTGAAAAGGCTTTTTTTTTTTCTGTTTCAAATAAGGAATACTAAAATTTGTAACAGATTTGAATTATCTTCATCCTGTTGGCTGTCATATCTGGAAGCAGCTAGTGTTGAGAAAATGGCTGTCCAATAAATATACAATGCTATTTAGTAATTTATTTTTGTAGTACTGTGAATACGACAGAAAATAATGAAGATACATTAAAACTTGTGGAGCCTGACTGTCCTAGGCATCACTGCTTGTATAGTGAATTGCAAGCTGATGCAAAAAGTGGCTAGTCTGACTTCACAGTGTTTTGCATGTATTTTGGCAAGGTACAAACAATAACATAGAACACAACTTTGGAAAAATAGAGTTCACTGTGTTCTAGGGGGAATTTGATCTAAAGGTCATGGAAGTCAGAGGAAAGACTGCGTGGGCTCTGAAGGAGCATAGAGCAGGAAAACACATGCACACTATGACAAGTCCTTCATTAGTGCTATTTTTGGTTCCAGAAAGAGAACAGTTTATCCAAAACTGCAGCAATCCTAAACAGCTTTAAAAGGCAGAAGAAGTCTGATAACCTTCTGTGCTCTTAGACCTTGAATAGATTTTCATATTTATTCATTGTGTTTAGCACAAAGGACAAAGTCTACCCCCAGTACATGCTACGATAGCATCTCACAGAGAGGAGACTTGGACTTCAGCCTGATGTTTTTTCCCGGTGTGGAGAAAACAACAGCAAAAGGAAAAAGCCTTGAGGAGCAGCATCCTGACTCTTGACTATCCCTCTGATGTCTTCTGGATTGGGCGTGCAGGTTTATTGGAATACCTCTTCCTCCCCTATAAACCTGTACTCAATTTCCCCCAGGCTTTCTTCCAGAACTGTTTGTAAAAAGTGTGCACTTACTTAAATGGGCCAGGGGAGCTGTTCCACTTTTTGCAACTATTATTTCGAGTGTGTGCTTTTATGATATTTTAATTAATTGTTTTTTTACAAACCAGCAATTGTTTTGATTAAAATTACCTGGTAATATAGCAAAAACTTTTCCCCCAAAATAGTTTTTATTCCACACACCAGAATGCCATCATGGTAGGTTTCAGCAGCTACACCTGTATATAGGTTACATCCAGCATTATATATACACATATTAACATGGTCAATTTCTCAGTGACTAGACCAGAGCTGCAGTCAGTGACACTTCTCTGCCAAAAATGTAACTCTTCAGAACATGCATGATAAAATCTGTTCATATGCCTTAAATCCTGGTGATGATACTCAGCTGTCATATTAGCTTTTTACTCACTTTTTTTTTAACATCAAATTAATCAGAGCAAAACAGGTTATCAAGAATGCATATTCTAGAAACATCTTTTGAAAGCCAGTAAAATTTGACTTGTTTTCCTTTTGGAGAGAGGTACTTGAGAAGAAATGTTTTACCCAGAAAGAAGTATGCTTGAACTGGAAACATGAAGAGTAAGTTTCTGCGTTATTTTTTAACAGAAAAGTAACAACCCATTAAAAAACAGGGAGCTGTCACATATCTGGGTCTAATGGTGTAGCAATACATAAAAATTCTGGGTTACCTTTATGTACTGTATTCCGAAAAGGTAAGCTCTAATGCCTGAGATAGAAGTAGCAAACATGGGTTTACCTGGGTTACCGCTGTCTACACAAGTGGTTCAGACAACAGCCCAGATGGCTTCCTTCCAACTGGAAATGATGGGCATTTGGGTTGGGGGGGGTCAAAAATGTTCTCTAAGGTTTCCCTTTTGGCACTTTCCGCATCCTGGCCTGTCAAAGGAAGGGATACAGTGGAGCTTCCTTTTGCCTGGGAAAGGAGTGAAGCTTCTTCAAAAACAGTTTCTATAAATACATTGGCAGAAGAACGAGGGCTAAGGTGACTCTCCATCCATTGCAGGATGCAGAGGGTGGCATGGTGTTAGGGGATGAGGAAAAGGCTGAGGTACTTAATACCTTTTTTGCCTCAGTCTTTCATATCAAAACCAGTTACCCTCAGGATGCCCAGCTACCAGGGCTGGAAGTTAATGACAGGGGAGCTGAGTGAGGCGCCCACAATCCAGGAGGAAAGGGTTAGTGGTCTGCTGTCCCAATTAGACACCTACCAGTCTATGGGCCCAGATGGGATGCACCTGAGAATAATAAGAGAGCTGGCAAAAGAGCTTGACAAAAGACTTTCATTTACCAGCAGACCTGGTTAACCAGAGAAGTCCCAGTTGACTGTAAATTAGGAAATGTTATTGCCCATCTACAAGAAGGGTTGGAAGGATGATCTGGGGAACTACAGGCCTGTCAGCCTGACCTTGGTATCAGGGAAGGTCAGGGAGCAGATCATCCTAAGTGCCATTACAAGGCACATGCAGGACAACCAGGAGATTAGGCCCAGCCAGCATGGGTTTATGAAAAGCAGGTCCTGCTTGACCAACCTGTTCATCTTCTATGACAAAGTGACCCACCTAGTAGGTGAGGGAAAGGCTGTGGATGTTGTCTATCTAGACTTCAGTAAAGTGTTCAACACTGCATCCCACAGCATTCTCCTGGAGAAACTGGCTGCTCATGGCTTTGATGGATGTACTCTTCGCTGGGTAAAAACCTGGCTGGGTAGCTGGGCCCTGAGCACGGTGAATGGAACTAAATCCAGCTGATGGCTGGTGACTAGTGGTATACCCTAGGGCTCAGTATTCGGGCCAGTCCTGTTTCACATCTTCATCAATGATTTGGATGAGAGAATTGAGGGCATCCTCAGTAAGTTCACAGATGACACCAAGTTGGGCAGTAGTGTTGATCTGCTGGAGAGCAGGAAGACTTTACAGAGAGATCTTGACAGACTGGACCAATGGACTGAGGACAATGGTATGGGATTCAGTAAGGTGAACCAAGTGTCAGGTCCTGCACTTGGGTCACAACAACCTCATGCAGTCCTACAGGCTGGGGGAAGAGTGGGTTTTTATGTGTGCAC